TGCTTATAATATTTCTACAGCACCTCCTGGTCAGTGTGGAGTGTCTTCAGTCACTAGAGTGATTGCTGGAGTCGATGCTCAGCCAGGTTCATGGCCATGGCAGGTAATCTATGAATTAACCACTGTTAGAATACAGTATTTATTCTTTTAAGCGCCTCGGCGTTGATTATTTTTTGGGGGTTGGATATGCAATGTTTATTCAGGGGCGGCACATTTATTCGAGGGCGGCGTTCAAAAAAATGTTTTTACCATTCACATGATGTTTAACAATTAAATTAATAGAAAGTGAATATATACCTTTAAATTCCAAAATACTAATGTTTTTTCTGTATATTTATGACATATTTATCCCTTTTCAGATTGGTCTTCATCGTAACGGTGGATTCATCTGTGGTGGTACTTTAATCAAGAGGGACTGGGTGGTAACAGCAGCTCACTGTGTAACGAACAAGTATGAATATCTATTTTCTAATTTGACTAAAAATATCCTACAAGAATCTAAAAACTACACAAGTAAAGAAAAATGGTTTTGTATTTGTTTTTAGTAACCCGTCGGCGTACTTTGTTCGTCTCGGTGATCACAACCGTCGCGTACAAGAAGGAACAGAACAAGACATTAAAGTCATTAGAATCATATCTCATCCGAACTACAACAATCCCCGACTAAGTAATGATATTGCCTTGCTACAACTGGAAAAACAGGCTACACTGAACAGTCGTGTAGGACTTGCATGCTTGCCTGCTCACAACTACGATCTACCTGCAGGATCCAACTGCTACATCACTGGTAAGTTGAACTGAATCACTGTTATCAGCAAGAGATCCTTAGCCCATTTTCTACTTACAAATATTCAGGTTACTGATTATTGATGAAGAGAAGATACGGTTATTTACCATTCAAAACATGCTCTTGTATATTTGTGTTGTTGACAGGTTGGGGTAAGATAAGACACCCTGGAAGCTCTCATCACATCCTCCAACAAGCACACATGCCTTCAATCAGCCACGCCGAATGCAAGAGAAAGAATGGCAATATTGGTATAACTATCACTGATGTCATGCTTTGTGGTGGCAAGGCTAATACTCAGATYAGCGGTTGTCATGGTGACAGCGGTGGACCTTATGTRTGTAAGAAYTCCGCTGGMCGATGGGTACTGCAGGGAGATGTGAGCTGGGGTAATYCTCRATGTGATTCCTCACAGAWGTACACAGTATTCGGAAGAGTTGCWAAGTTTAGAAACTGGATCGACATGCACACACTAGGAGGTAAGCACCAAAAGCCTTTAGAAGAGTTTCTTTCCAATCAAGAAATGGTT